CAGAGAGCCTGATGCAGGGCTTGATCCCAGGACTCCGGGATCATGACCTGAGCCGAAGGCGGAGGCTTTAACCCACTGAGCCACCCAGGCGCCCCATGATATCCTCTTTTTTGCTTTTTCTTTTTTCATAATATCTTCTTTTATCCCCGCTGATATTCCTTGTTCTGAAGTCTGCTTTGTCCGAGGTTAATATGGTGACAGCTTTCTTCTGATGAATGTTAGCATGGTATATCTTTCTTTATCCTATTGGTTTCCATCTAAGTGCATGTATACATTTGAAATGGGTTTCTTGTAGACAGCATGCGGTTGCGTCTTGTTTTTTAATCCACTCTGACGGTCTCTGTATTTTAGTTGGATGCTTCTACAACCAGGATACAAGTTGGATGTACCAAACCTAATTTCCTTCACACCACGCTCAGACATTTGAAGGGATTGTCAGTTGGGCTGCTAGTGACCATATTAGTAACCGTTTCATAGTCACTGCATGTATTTTTTTTTTCTTAAAAAACATTCTCTTTTTTGCATTCGCTGGTCTTCACTGAACATCTTATATGATTAAATTTTCTCTCCTCCCTTACCCTATCAGTTATATCTTCCTTTTTTCTTTTAAATTTCTTTTAAGACAAGGATGTCATACATCCTGCTTTTTAAAAAGATTTTATATTTATTTATTTATTTATTTATTTATCAGAGAGAGAGAGAGCACACAAGCAGGCAGAGTGGCAGGCAGAGGCAGAGAGAGAAATAGGCTCCCCGCTGAGCAAGGAGCCCGATGTGGGCCTCGATCCCAGGACCGTGGGATCATGACCTGAGCCGAAGGCAGCGGCTTAACTGACTGAGCCGCCCAGGCGTCCCTATATCTTCTTTTTAAAAAGTGTATTGGTTGTCATAACATTTGCAGTAAATATTTACAACTTAATCTAAATTCACTTTCAAACAATATTATATTGTGTTACAAGCAGTGCAGGTAATTTATAACAAAGTTTTCTCAAATCTTTCCTCCCATTCCCTATAACATTAATGCCATTCATTTCCCTTATCCACGTGCTATCATCGCCTGGTACTATTATTACTCTGAATAGTTATCTATTAGGTCAATTAAGATTCTTTTACAGTTTAATTTTTAATTTTTCTTAGTTTATTTCTTCTCTGACACTCTTCTTTATGTAGATCTGAGGTTCTGACAATATTTTCTTTCTCTTCCAAGAACTTCTTTGAACATTTTTTGGAAGGTACATCTATTGGCAACAAATTTCCTTGATTTTTGTTTGTTTGAGAAAGTCTTTACTTCTCCTTCACTTGTGAGGGGTAATTTCACTGGATGCTGAATTCCAGGTTGGTGGTTTTTTTCTTCAATATACTTAAATTTTTCGCTCTGCTCTCTTCTTGCTTGCCTGGTTTTGACAGGAAGTCTGTTTCTTCATAGATAAGGATTTTTCCCCCTTACTTGCTCCTTTGAAGATTTTTTTCTTTGCCTTTGGTTTTCTGCAGTTTAAATATGAGACATCTGGATACAGATGCTTTGATATTTACCTTGCTTGGCTGCATTCTTTTTTTTCTCTACATATCAGTTCTGGACATTTCTACTGTCATACCCTCAAGCTTACTGGCTATTTTCCAGTCAAGTCATGGGGCCACCAAGAGTGTTAGTATATCTCTTATAGTGTGTTTTATTCCCACCATTCCTTTCTGATTCTTTCTTAGAGTTTCTCTTCTTGCATGTTATCTACTTTTTTCTGTTAGGTCCTTTAACATAATAATCTGTAGTTACTTTTAATTCCTTTCCTGTCTGATTAAGTCTCAAATCTGCATCACTTCTGATTCTGGTTCCTATGGTTGCTTTATCTTTTCAGACTATGTTTTTTTCTTGCCTTCTAGCATATCTTGTAAATGTTTGCTGAAAGCCAGGCACGGTATGTTGCATAATAGGAACGGAGATAATTGGGCTGCCAGTGTGAGGCTTTATGTTAATCTCTCTGGGAGCTGGGCTGTGTTCGATATTGCAGTAGCTGTAGATGCCAGAGGCTCTGGTTATCTCTGCTTTCCTCATTTTTTTTTTTAACCCTCTGTGGTCTTTGGGTTTTCCTAAGAATTCCTTCTTCAATAAAATGTCTTTTATTTATTTATTGTCTTTTATTCATTTTATATACTTTTTGTCCTTCAGTTCTCCCAGTTTTGGTGAACTGTTATTAGAAGGGAGCCCTGTTGATGTGGCAGGAGGTGTTTGGAGAGGAGAACCTTCTAGAATAATATAAGTAAATCCCATTTTTCTAGTGGGCCTGAGTTCCTGGTCTGTGACCTTCAGAAGCACTTCTTAGGCTTTTTTTTTTTTTCCTTGCCTTGCTAGAGACAGCAAGGCTAGATGGAGTTGGAGTGGACCAAATTTTCCTTCACACCTCGCTCAGATAAAGTAGCCTCCCTCTGAGGGCAGGCCTTTGTTATGGAGAATGGTCTCTGCCCATTTCAGAAGGGCTATGTTCCTCTGGCTCCCCACCCCCAAATATGAGGGGATTTTTTTTTCCCCTCTGATATTAACTGGGAGAATGTGGTAGGCTCCTTGAGGTAAAATCTATGAAAGTATGGGATCCCCCTAAGCCTGGGCCCCCAGTTTTCATTTCCTGAGCTAGTTCACACTCAACCTCCTGCAATTTATAAAAAGTATCATCTAAGTGTTCCTACCAATTATTAGCTGTAGTGGTTTCTGCATCCAGGAAGCTGATCTTAGCTGTGTAATTCTGTGTTCACCTTGTCTTCCCAGACTTCTGGGTGGCACCAATGCCCTGTGACCTCTATTTCCCGAAGGGTCTGGGAGAAGTCCTCAATCTTGACTTTTTTCAGCTTTTCTCTTGTGCAGATGGCAGTGATGCCTTCCAAGTTCTTTCCACATCAGAGCTGAAACTCCAAGTTCTGTCTCTCAAGTTTTAAACCTAATTGTCTTAGTTTGTTTTCCCCAGAAGCAGACTGTGAGATTAGGATTCTAAGGCAAGCAGCTTACCTGGTCAGTGGTCTCAGGAAAACCAAGGAGGTATGGGAATCACTGATTCCCATCACTGAGAAGACAGTCTCTGTGGTCAGCTAAGGCTCAAGTCTGCTGCAGAACTCAGGGAGACAGTGTAGGACATGTACTGGAAATTCATCTCACTAAGGGGGAGAGAGCTGGAGTATTGATACTCCTCTCAGCTATGGGCTTACAGATGCTGGGGGTGGAAGTGGGATACGGACCAGGAAGGGGAGCAGAACAGGCTTCTACAACCAGGATACAAGCCCTCAGGCAAAGAGCTGTTTGGGCTCAAGGTTGGGAGTTGGGAGATGGCAAAGCTGATGTGAACCCGGGGTTGGAAGTTATGACAACAGGGGTGCTCTGCCTCTAAATTAAGGAATGGCTTCCCTTCCTGAGCAAAACCCACTCTGATTCTTCTAAAAGCAGCATGATATAAGTTTTAGGATCTTTAGAGAAAAAAGTGTTTTTTGTCAGCTGTCCTCATAATTCTCCCTCCAACACAATGCTTTATGGTCTGTTTTATTTTTAGGTCTCTGTCACTGGTAGGTAGATGTGGCATTAAAACATGTCCAATTATTTATCCTCCTACCAGAAGAAAAGGTCTAATTCCCTTCTCCTACACTATGACCTGGCCTCAGTGGGTCTCTTCTAAGGAATAAGATCTGGTAGAAATGATGCAGTGACTTCTAAGGTTAGGTTTAACACAGAGAAACAGCGTCACTTGGTATTCTCCCTCCCTCCTTCCCTCTCTCCTTTCCTTCTTCCTTTCCACTCCCTCTTCTCTCCCTCATCCCTTTTTCTCTCCCCACCCCTTTCTCTCAACTCACACCTTGGGTTCCCTGAGCTGACATGTGGGAAAGTCCAGCTGTGCTAGAGAGAGCATATGGAGAGTCCACATAGAGAGAGAAAGAGAAGCCCAAGGAGCCCCAGCTGTTTGGAGCTTTCCAGCCCAGGGCCAGATGTGAGTGAGTGAGTCATTAGATGGTCAACTCCAGAGTCCTCCCAGCTGACACCAAGGGGAACAGAGATGAGCTAAGCTCGCTGAACTCCAACAAAATTACAAAATCACGCAGAAAATAAATGTTGCTGTTGTTTTAACCTGTTGCCAAGTAGAGCAGAGACAAGCTGTCTCCACTGAGCCCTGCCAAATTACAGATTCTTGGACAAGATAAATGCCACTAAATTTGGAGACAGCTTGTTACGTGGCCGTAGTACCTTGAATTGCTGTAGAACCACGATACTCACCTCCCACCTTCTTCCTTGCCAACAGAATCCCGACTTTATCTGGGGGCAGCAAGGTACCTGGCCTGAAGCAGTGAATCATGATTTGTTTTGGCCAGTCATGGTGCTCCTACTCCAGCTTTCTCAGCCTCATTTGTCCTGGGGCTGGCTGAGGGACCCAGTTCTGCCAATGAAACACAAATGGAAGTGGAAGGGAAATTAGGTCAACTCTGTGCAGAGGTGGGGGAGCCTCTCAGAAAATGTTAGCATTTCTGATAGCAGTGGTCTTCCTGCTGTGACTACAGAACATCTTGCCACCATGAGAGAAGGCCAAGACAACTGCATTGTGGGAGCCCTGATATCTGTGAACGGGGCTCCAGCAGCAGCCAGTATCTGGAATTCTTGTACGGTGAGAAATATTTCCCTGACATCTGCGAAAAATACTTCCCTGACATCTTTGAGCAGCTGAATCATACCAGTGGTGGCCAGCCTCCAGACTCCATGTAATAGGAGAGACTCCAACAGCTGTTTATGTTTTTGTTGCTTGGTTTTATTGGGGGGGGGGTTGGTTTTGTTTTGTTGTAGTTTAACAGAACAGACCCAGTGGGATTATTTTAAAGTTAGAGCCATCTGAGACCTCCAAGCTGGTGTGGCTCCATTGGTTTTGGCAGGTGAAGACAGAGGGATGGCCCACAACTCCGAGCTAAGCACTGCGAACAAAGCCAGGAGACTATGTCAAAGAGGCTGAGAGCTGATCCTTTCTGCTACCACCCTTGGGCCCTTGGGGAAGAATGACATCCAATCATACCCCAGGTAAGGCAGTCTCCATAAAGAGAAAGAATGATGATGATGGTGATGATGATGATGGTGATGGTGATGTTGGTGATGATAATGGTGATGATGGTGATGGTGATGATGGTGATGGTGGTGATGATGATGGTGATGATGGTGATGGTGATGATGGTATGATGAAGATGATGGTGATGTTGATAATGAAGATGACGGTGGTGATGGTGATGCTGATGGGTGTGGGGAGGATGTTGATGACAATGAGGTGGCGGCGATGATGTCGATGATAATGGTGGGGATGATGGTGCTGGTGCTAATGACAGGATGGTGCTGAGAACTAATACCTGTATAACAGTGTGGCACAGTGTCCCAGACCCCATTATGGGATAATATGCTAATTACAGAAATTCTAGGAGTTAGGTGCTGTTATTAGGTCCTTTTCATAGATCAGAAAATTGGTACAAAGAGGGTAAGTAACTTGCTCAGATCCCGTAACTGGTGAGTCCTGAGCCAGCAAGCACTTTCTCAGGAAAGAGAAACTTCTGCCAGGAACCTGATAGACATTACATGCACACTTTGCAATGGGTGCAATTTTCTATCTGGAAGGAGCACACAGGAGGGTTAGTGTTTCTGGCTGAAGAACGATAGACTCCTGTTTACTTACCTCCCTGATGTCCCAAGGGAAAGGGAAAAGGTCCTGAATTACCCTGATCTCAGGCTGTCTTCCTCCAGGCCACCAATGACTCAGCTGTTGGAGTTCGCAAAGTTGAATCTCTCTCTCATTCTTGGTTAAGAATCACTCTGTAGCTCCTTATTGCTTATGGGTTAAACCAGAATTTCTCAATCTTGGCACTACTGACATTTTGAGCTGGATAACCCCTTGCCATTGGAGGCTGCCCTGTGCCCTCTCGGACGTTTAGCAACATCCTTGGCCTCTACTCACCGGATTCCAGAAACATCCTCCCAGTCGTGACAATCATAATATCCCCGAATGTTGCCAAAGGCCCCCTTGTTGGGGGAGAGAAAGTAAAATGACCCCCACTTTAGGACCATCGGGTTAAAGGAAACAGGCTTCTGACCTAGAGAACGTGATTTTGACCACAGGTCTCAGAAAACCTTACTGCCAGATGGTGGGCTCCCCAAAGGGTGGGGTCCCCGCCTTATGCCTATTTCTTTTCCCCCGAGGTTGATCCGTAGCTCACAGCAATGATGACTCAAGAAATAGTGGTCAAATCAGACGTAACCAGACTGTGGTCAGGAAGAAAACCAGGCAAACAAAAAGCATGGAAAGTACTAATGGGCGGGGGTCTCTGAAAGAGGTCCTGAGGGTGTCTCTGTTAGAGGGGAGAGCTGCAGTTGAAGGCAGAGGAGCATGCTGACGGAGGTGGAAGGGGAGATGAGCTTCTGAGTCACAAATGGCAGTGTGATCAAGGGTTGGAGGCCTAAAGGTACACCCTGGGGAGCTGGGCTGGGGTAAGCAATGCAGCTTGGGCCCTGTTATCAAAGGTCTTGTACACCAGCCTCGGGTGATATGGAGCATCAGTGAATTCCATGCTGGGGCATGAGAGGCCCAGCCTTGGCTTTTAGAATAACCTCTGTTGGGTGCCTGGGTGGCTCAGTCGGTTAACCCTTTGCCTTCGGCTCAGGTCATGATCCCAGAGTCCTGGAATCGAGTCCTGCATCGGCGGGGGGGGTCCCTGCTCAGCGGGGAGTCTGGTTCTCCCCCTGCGTGTACTCTCTCTCTCCCTCTCTCTTGCTCTCGCTCTCACAAAGACAAAAAGTCTTTAGAATAACCTCTCTTTGACAGCTGTGTGGATGGTGAACCTCAGGGAGCTATGGCTGTCGCAATAATCCAAGTGAGACCTAGGGCCCAAAAGAGGGGACAGGAAGAGGCAGCGTTCTCCTCTTTCATTGCGGATAAACGCTAACCCTTTCCAAGAGCGTAAAGGCAAATATAAAATGTCCAGCCCCTAATAAGCGATCCATTGTATGACTTTCTTCCCCACCAGCTCCGCGCCACTGTCTCCACAGTTCCTGGGCTGGCTATGCCCTTCCTTGTTTCCTCAGGCTGGGAAAGCACCCTCTTGCTTAAAGGCCTGATGTGTCTCCTTGGTGCAGAATTCTTGAGCTGCAGATGGAGGGCATGTTATGATTTCATTTGTTTTCTCTATGAGGTGGCGAGCAGGTGGAGGCAATGACTTTGTCTTGTCCCTTTATTCCTTGAACTGATATTGGATGAGCACCTACTATGGGCCAGGCACTGTGCTCGGTCCTGGGGTAGAGCTGTGTGCAGCCGTCTTGTACCCCAAGGAGCCGCGGAGGGCCCGGGGAGGAATGAACGCATGGATGCATGAACCGTGGGCTGGCTGAGGGGGGCTGAGACCTGGAGAGACTCAGCAAGTAAACCATGATGGCCTGGCGGAAGCAGCCGGGGAGGGGCTGAAGCTCCAGACAGTGAAGGAACGTGGAAACGGGTGTTTGGCACAATGGGGTTCCACACCGGGTGCTTTCCTGTGGGGTTTTCTGTGTTTCCCAGACCTGTCAGGAGGCGTGGCTCTGTTTCTTCAGCTAGTTGGCCAAAAACATAGAAACTGTGGATATGTTTGTAGTAGATGTGAACAGCTTGTCTCCCACACACGCTTGTACTCTTTGAGGCGACAGCCTGCTTTGCCTCTGGGGATCTGCCCGTCCTCAAGTGTCCATCCACGTACACGCACGGGGCTCCACGCCCAGCCTAGGGTGGGAGCGTGCGGTCCAGACTGACGTCATTCAGTGTACCTGGTGCCACTGGCCTCAAGACCACCAAGCTTGGTCAGGGGCAATCATGTGACCTGAGTGCCTTCAGCTAGTGTCCAATCAGGGTGAACTTCAAGGTTTTGGTGGGCTGCTGGGACAAGAGCACTGATACCCTTTTGCCCTGGTTGTGAGTGTGGAAGGTGTGGATTGCACCTTCATTGCTGTTGGGTTCCATCTTATAAACACCAGGAGAGGTCCTTTCTCTAAATGAAAACCCACAGAAGGCGCTCATGGGGTGGAGAAACAGAGAGTGAAATTAGGTCCTAACGTCACTTTCTGAGCTCCTGGATCCAGCCATGTCTGAAGCCAGCAAAATCTTACCTCACCTACATTTTGGTTATTTTCTCGAGCCAGTCTGTTGGATTTTCGATCTTAAGTCTTGTAGTGCTCGACTGGGTGCTCAGCCTGTGGCAAGGAAATCTTGGTACTCCAGTGGAAGGAAGAAGAATGTCAATGGCAAAGCTGTCAACGGGGGGCACCCTGCTCTGGCCCTCTGGATGTTTTGCAAGAATAAGGCAGGAGAGCACCAGATCCTTTAAACAAGGGACAAGCCAATGTGCGCACTGCATTCCTAGAGTACATTTCCTAAAAGCGGTGGCCTCCTTGTTCCAGACGTTATTCTTGGGTCTTCTCACAGACTCTGGTACAATCAATGCTTCTTGTCCTTCTTGATATCCTCCTCTGGTCCTTTAGCATCATCCGTGTCTTTAACTCAACTTACCCCTGGTTGGTTCTTGTATCTTCTCCTTGTCTCAGGACACTTGGAGATACTTCTGGAAATGTCATTCCTCCAGACTGGACTCAGCCCTGTAGCTCTCATTTCTTAGAACTCTACCATGTGCCCCATGCCATGTAATCAGTTGTCTCAGTCTTCAAACTACCCTGTATATTCCCATTTTAGAGATGAAGAAATTGAGGCCCTGAGAGGTTAAGTAACTTGCCCAAGGTCACACAGCTCGCAAGTGGGGAAAGCAGTCCACACCTTATATCTCCTCTACTCCACAGCCTGTGCCTTTAACCACTCTGCCATATTTCCTCTGGGATTCTATCCAGAGGCTGTACCTACCGGCTTCCTTGCCTCAAGGTCAGGACCCAGACCAAAATGAGCTAACGTCCTAACCTGTTTTTCCCACTCTAGTAGATGGTATTGATCCCCCACCCATATCTCCTAGCACTTACCAGTCCAGCTTCTGGCTGCAAGCACCAGCGACGCGGCTCAGAGGGTTAGCGCTCACAGGGCGGGTCTCAGCCAACAACAATTGGAATTGGCTGGGAACTTGCTTAGTTTCCCTGCTTCTCAGGGCATGTGGCAGGGACAACTTAAAGGCATGCTCTGTGGTCTCCATCTCTCTGGATGGAGCTCTGGTCCCCCAGCATTAACCTCCTCATCAACGCTCCTGCCCTTGGTCCCTTCCCCCAGCCCTCACTGTGCCACTCTTTCCTGGTGCTTTCTGGATCCCTTCACTTGTAAATTGTGCTCCAGTCCTCGTCTGGGATTTCTGGGGCCACCTAACCCAAGTCAGCTGCCTCTTGTAGCATCTTTTTTTTTTTTAAGATTTTATTTATTTGACAGAGAAAGATCACAAGTGGACAGAGAGGCAAGCAGAGAGAGAGAGAGAAGGAAGCAGGCTCCCTGCGGAGCAGAGAGCCCGATGTGGGACTCGATCCCAGGACCCTGAGATCATGACCTGAGCTGAAGGCAGAGGCTTAACCCACTGAGCCACCCAGGTGCCCCTCTTGTAGCATCTTTGATGTTCCTCCAATCAGCCACCCTCTCTGGATCCCAGTCCATATCAGTTAGGTAGAATGGACTCTACCTGTCTCAGAAGTGGGCAGGTGACTCAGAAGTGGCCAGTCAGAGCACTGTGTTCCCTTAGCCTTAGTGATTTGGTAAGAGATGGGCATGTGACTCACTGGAGCCAGTGAGATGCTGAGATTCTTCCGGGGCTGCAGAAATAGAGAGCCACCTGTCCTTTCCACAGGTGTCTCACCTGTACTGCTTGGAAGATGTGAGGGCTGGAGCTCTGGCAGCCATCTTGCTTGAAAGCAGTTTTACTACCTCTGAATAGAAAGAATGTGTGTCGTAGGAAATTGCAACCATGGCTTCTCTTTAACCCTCCCTGTATCCACACTCTTTGCCTTATAACTTATCGGTGCCTCTAACTTGGATTCTGAGTTCTCCTGCATGAATTGACAGGGATATCAGCAGATGTGATGGGAGGCAGAAG